TCATGTTGGTCTCTTAACTAAAGAGCTTTAACAGACTTAAAGTCTAGGCCAGATTACAAGAACTTGACATAAACTTCTAAAGTATCGAATATCCTTAAATACTATAAATAGCTTAGATATTTTAGCAAATAAAATGGAGTTCTAATGAACAAAAAAAAAACAGATTTATTATGTGTCAACACTCTTGAGAGAAAAGCAGTAGTCTAATCCAATATATAAAAATCTATTCTAATTTGAGTACTTCCACACTACCATCCATAAGAACACCAACATAAGAGAGGAAATTGATTCCATATTGAAAAATTGAAACAGTAGCAGGTGAAGGACTGATAATAAGCGCTAGAAATGATCATCTAGACAAAGCTTTGTTGTACTGGAAGGAGTAAACAAAATTTAGAATTGAGACTCCTCAAACTTTAAATGGAATCTGACTTGCGAAACAACAAAATAACTCATGAGATATCTGTAACATCGTGTAAGTTGAAGTAACTATGAAGAAGCTTGAAATTAGAAATAGTCATTTTTGGAAAGAATTCAAAAATCTGGAAATTTGGTTTAGTATGGGAAAAAGTGAGTTTTTGGTCAACTTTGAACAGTCATAACTCCTAGCTCAGGATGATTTAGGTGTAGTTCCAGTTATGTTTACGAAGCTTGTGGAATGATATTTCCAACGCCGCCAAGTTTGCTTGATTTTGAGTTCGCATGAGTGAGTTATGCCCTTCGGAAGTTGGGCTGTTGGCATAGAGAAGTCATCCGAAAATTGTAAGGGTATTTTGGTCTTTTCCCTAACCAATTCTTTTGGTTATATTAAGGGTTTAGAATGATTTTTGGATCATTTTTTCCCTTTTTAAAAGAGTGAGAATGAGGGTTTGTGAGTGAAGAGGAGAAGATGACGAGAAAGAGATGAAGAAGCAAAGTTCGTCAAGATCGTCGTGGTTTTCGTCGGGGGTGATCCCTATTAAGGTATGTGAGATCATAGTGTTGGGTTGGTTCTTTCCCCCACATGCCAAACTCGTTTTAATTTCCGAGAAAAGATTTAGTTGTGTTTGTTGAAGTCTTGTGGTTGTGGTTGTTGAAGTGTTATGGTTGTGTTGAAGTTCCTTGTTGTCTTGGTACATGTTTCCGGTTGTGATTTCGAGTTGAATCTAGTGTATGTTGAGGGGTTTTATGATTCCAAGTGTTTGGGGCTGGAACCTTTGAAGTTAAGGTGGTTTAGAGTTGGAAAAATGAAGGAGAAAAGTCGAATTTTCGGGGAAAAGGGTTGGGGTGCTGCGCCAGCCAGCGCGCCCCAAAAGGGACTCTGAAGTCCAGCCCTTGGGGCGGCGCGCCTAGCATAGCACCCAACAGGCCTCTCTGAAGTCTGAAGTCTAGCGCTCCACGGCTCTCAGAGCGCCAAGGACGCCAAGTTTTTCCTCATTCTTCCCCACTCTTTCATACATGTTCCTTGGTAATGTACCTATGTTTTATAGTTGTTTTCAACACTCCAAGGTACGTCTAAACGTCAAGAACTCATCCATAAACATGAGATCATTACCTTTGAATTCATAATCCAATTCGAGGAAAGTTCGGATCAAAGTCAAGTGAAGCTAGAGTGAAGCTTAGAAGTTAAGAAGTAAGTCAAAGCAAGTCTTTAAAGTTGTTCAAGAGTCTTTATTGAACGTTTTAACTTCATCTTAAGGCTCAAGTTTCAAGTTAAGTAAAGAGTATAAAGTTGAGTTCATTTCTCAAAGATTATTAGGGAACTAAGTATTCCCAATGAAGTCTTAAAGAAATGTTTGTACATTTAAACAAGATTGGGAACTGAGATTTCCAAAGGGCCTTCGGGATAGTTTTTCAGAAAAAAAAGAGTAATCGCTTTTTAAATGAAGCAAGAGAGGAAACTGAGATTTCCAAGATAGCCTTTGAGCTAAGTTTTTGAGTAATTATCTCAAATCAGCAGGAAGAAATATGTTTTAAAAAAACATAATAGCCAGTACATTTTTGGGAGTAGTATTGAGCACCTATTTGGGGGAGCGTTCAAAGAACCCACAGCCTCCATAGCACCATGTAGCCATCATGGGTAGAAGAGGTTCATACTTTTTAGATGAATCCTTTTCAAATTAGACTAGTGGATCCATTAGGCAGTTCAGGTCCTATACATTTGGCCGGGTACATGATGCTTTGACAGCATGAGGTTGATCGTTGTATCATCACTATAGCTTTTATGTGATGGTTGTCGGTTAGAGAAACTCCCACAACAATTATTGTATTTTTTTAAATACATCAGTTCATTTGTTTTTCTATATACATCTCAGACTTATTGTAGCTTCGTATACACATAGAGTTTTAGCAGGTTTTAAACATCTTTTCTTTATAATGCACTTGTTTTGAATTGCCTTATATTGAAATGAGTCAGTCAGGTTGAGTTGAGTTGAGCCAGGTAAGCTATTCAGTTTCTTCCAGATTTCCTTCTAGCCTATGTTTCTTAGCTTCCAACTCGCATACTCGTACATTCAATGTACTGATGCCAGTTGGCCTGCATCTTACGACGATGCAGACGCAGGTACCCATTATCAGCATCCAGCACGTCGTTGATCCAATTGAGCACTCCAGAGTCAGCGGTGAGCCTCTTTGCATTCCGGAGGACTCGGTTATTTTGTTTTCTTAAGTTTTGTTTTATTAGGATGTTGCGGGGTCTGTCCTAACATCCATATCAGTGTTATAGAGGCTTCATAGTCAGTCAATCAGTTAGTATTGAGTCTCTCATTTCTGTATATATGTAAATAGTCTATTTTGAGACTCCAGTTGCCTTTTTTGGCCAGATTTTTATGAGTTAGGTTGTTTTATGACCTTTCATTGCATGGATTATTCTGTTGAGTTAGGTTTTCCGCTGAGATAAGAAAGTCAGGTCAATGGTCGCTTGGGGGCCAACAATGGTCTTCGAGTGCCGGCCATCTCCAGGGTGTAGTCTTGGGGCGTGACAAATTTGGTATCAGAGCACAGAGTTCAAGAGTCCTAGGGAGTCTATGAAGTCGTGTCTGTAGAGTCCTATTATCGGTGTGGAAGCGCGCCACATCTATAATTGGGAGGCTGCAACATTTAGGATGATTTCTCACTTCTTTCACACTCATCTCGTATGTTAGAGTTGATCTCTAAAAAGTTTCTCTCTAATCCGTGCCTGCACGTGTTTTCAGATAATCATGCCTTCATGAAGAGTTGGCAGAGGGCGTCTTCCTAGACGTTATGTTGGAGGAGCAAGATTTACCTTATGCACCTGAAGTGCAATCACAAGGGGAAGTTTCTAATGCCGAGTTCAGAGAGGCAATTAGAATGTTGAGTCAAGCTGTAGCAAATCAGATTGGTCAGCAAAGAGGAGCTCGACATGAAGGAGCTGACACTTCAAGGATTCGTGAGTTCTTGGGGATGAATCCTCCGAGTTTCATGGGTTGAGCACTACTGAGGATCCAGAGGATTTCATTGAGGAGTTGAAGAAGATTTTTGATGTGATGCATGTGGCAGATATTGAGCGGGTTGAACTAGCTGCTTATCAATTGAAGGATGTTGCTAGAACTTGGTTCGACCAGTGGAAAGGGGGCAGAGCTGAGAATGCACCACCTACAAGTTGGGCCGATTTTGAGGAAGCTTTCTTGGGGCATTTCTTTCCTCGAGAATTGAGAGAGGCCAAGGTACGTGAGTTCCTCACACTTAAGCAGGAGTCCTTGAGTGTTCATGAGTACAGTTTGAAGTTCACACAATTATCCCGCTATGCTCCGGAGATGGTTGCGGACATGAGGAATAGAATGAGCTTGTTTGTTGCTGGGTTGTCTCGGTTGTCGAGCAAGGAAGGT